ATGTCATGGTAGGTCACAATTATAATTACCAAACATATTCTCTAATATTCTGAAGTATTAAATTATTGCTTTTTATATCTTGCATCAAATTCATATTTCAAAAAATTTGATAAGCTTTTATTTTTACTTATATAATTTAATGGACAGTTTTTATGGACTTCCCCTTTTTGAATTTGCCTTGGAGTTCGGTATTTTTGTTTTACCATTTTGAATTAAAGTTTGGCATTAGGACTTATGCAGGATGAAATCAAATACCAAATGAATAGCCTACTGAAGCATTCCATCACATTTTAGCTGAGTAAATTGGATGAAACTCACGAAGTCATACAAACGAGAAATTTATCCATTGCACTTTTAGTATGATGAAAATTGTTCACTGATATTCTGAAGTATTGACAATTTTTTCTTGCATTAAATTCATAATTCAAAGATTCGATAAAATTTTCTTTTTATTTAATTCCTTTAAATTTCAGTTTAGTCTTAGGAGTCTAGGCATGATAAAATCATTTATTAAATGATACGAGCAAATCAGCCCTAATACGGATCAATCAGCATGCGCAATACTGATGACGTTGCCCTGTCGATATAGATCAAGAGTTAATACTGGACGTTCACTTCCAGTTTTAATGTTCTTACGCCTTACTTACATTTGGACGTATCGTTATGCTAAAAACATTTGTATTATAGTTTTGATGTTCAGTCTTGAAGTCTTGAAACGGAAATATTTCACAGCCTTTTCGAGTACGACTTTCGATTATTGACACTGGTTCATTTCCGTTGATCAATCATCAGAAAGCAGACAATCTAAGAGTAAGAATAGTAAAACTGTCTGATTTATTCTTCCTAGCTACTTTATATTTGCTAGATATGTTTTGAATTGTAATAGCATAACATTAAGTACTTGGATGAGAAATCAGAAATTACTTCTGACAATTTTAACAAATAATCCATGGACGTGAATGCGAAAAGACAAGTTCAGATATGAAATTCTGTATCCGACTTCTTCACGGTAAGTTTCTTAGTTCATGTGTAGTTTATTCTAATTAAAAGAATTGAGATCATTTAATAAAAGTGTTATGAACTGGCTGTTTCTGTATTGGCCCTGTTATAGATTTTCAATCAGCTGTATTGGCCCTCGACTCTTCGAGTCTCGGGTCCAATACAGCTAACCTCGAATCTATAACAGGGCCAATACAGAAACGGCCAGTTAATAACACTATAATATGCAATATATTTGCAGAGCTACATCAGTCAATCAGGTAATTTACAAGTGTTTCTCTTCAGAGTTGTCCTTCATTGTTAATGTTTCACGACTTCCTTATGTGTCTGCAGTATTACTATTTCAATGTGTTTACATTCGCCAACCAGACAACAAAACCAAATTTAGATTTTCGAGTGGCATATATGTATGCACCTGCTGGCACCCACCAGAATCTACCGCTGCATAAGTCATTATCAAAATTTGCCATCAGACAACACGCTTAATATGATATATCAAATAATAAAAGCTTCACAGGTTCTTCAAAAGCAGTCACCAAATGCTCTTTTTCCAAAGAAAAGCATCAGAGTGTGTGCAAATATTCAATACATTAATTTCTGTGCTTAATAAATAAATTCATGTAGTAAACACTTAATCATCATTTAATACTCCAAAGAGAAGGGTAGCTTTTTGGTAAAGCTTAACCTTGTTTTTGTATTTAACATTGATACATATATATCAATTCGGAAATTAACAAAAAATCAATGAGACATCTAAGAGATAACTAAGGCAGCTAAAATCAATATTTTCATAATTTCTGAGATAATTTTAAGTAAAGGAATATATATCCTTTATGCAAATCGCTGACTCCTTGACCGGATTCGGCTACACGTTAGGTCCTTGCTGAAGAGATATTTATTGTCGGAACGCTCATCTGGTACCGTTAATTTTATTTTACCACACAACCATGAAATATGAAAATTAATACGAAAATCTAAAAAAAAGATAGATAAATTCTCCAACAAGTCACTTTTTCAAAGTTATAAATACGAGGTTCTATTGGTTTCTGGTCTTCAAATCTCGTCAATTAATTTTGAATATACAAAGTGTAACAATTGAGGAAATGGTATTAGAAGGTCTGGATGGGGTCCTTCATTTCTTTATTCTTTAAACTTGAAGATAAATGTTTGTTTGCTATTTACTTGGTAATTTTTCACTGTTTGCCCATTATTCTCTTTTCTGTCAACCCCATCCAGACCCTCGTATAAGTACTAATTTAAAGAAATGAGACCGGATGCGTAGACAGTATAAACGTCTCCTACTCAATGAACTCATCATATATACCAAATACGTCCTGTTTTCACGGTCTTAGTTTAATGAATAACAAAATAGCTGTCTGATCTGTAAAAGAGGGACAAAAGATACCAGAGGGACAGTCAAACTCATAGATCGAAAACAAACTGACAACGCCATGGCCAAAAATAAAAAAACAAACAGACAAATAATAGCACAGATGACACAACATAGAAAACTAAAGACTAAGCAACACGAACCCCACCAAAAACTGGGGGTGATCTCAGGTGCTCAGGTGTAAGTTTACCGATCGTATCAAATTCCTGATATTGATATTTTATTAGTATGGTAGATATTATATGCACATCAGGAAACGCTTACCCTGTCGATGTATCCGGTCTCACTCATTTGATACTTTCGTGGAAATACGGATATTTTTTCTATTTGCTGTTATATAATTTCGAAATCATTTAAGATTAGGTAATGTATTATCTCCCTTATGCATAGTTTTGATTCCATGTTCTGGTTTGCCTTTACTTTAAGTCCATCTTAGTTCTATTGGCTACTCACTCTTTAGCGTTTGTATAAGGAATATTGACTTTTAAGTACTTTTTCCTCGAGAATCATTTAAAGAGACATTTCTTGTCAGAATGCGCATCTCGTGCAGTAAAATTGGTACCGTTAGTATAATGGCAACCACTGGTTAGATACCTCTGCTGTTGGACTGTCAGTCCCCGAGAATTCTTGTTTAGTAGCCAATATTTTGGTGATTAGATGACAATGCGGATATTGTTCTATTTGAATTTAATGTTGAAAAAAATTATATTACGTTTGTATACGTTTTTTTTTTTACTAGAAAAACTTTACTTGTCCTCGAGCATCGGTGAAGAAACATTAATTATCGAATCTGGTGCAAAAAACTTGGTACTCTTTAAGTCTGTTAAATTTGTGGATAATGGAGCTTTCAATTTTATTGCATGTATTATTTTTGTATACACTCAACCCCACAAGTACAACACACTGTACACGAAAGATAGAAAGTATGCGAAACCTGTTTCTTTTTTAAATTTATCAATTTTATACGAAGGTATAATTGACGTTCAAATTGTATGGAGCTTAATTGAGCTTACTCATTATTCTATCTTACATGTAATTTCAATGTTTAAACGATTTTACCATAAAGTAAATTTCTATAATTCATTGTTCATCCCATTCAATTCAGAATTATGTAGGGACTCTTCAAAACTTGGCCTGAACAGGACTAAATAAATGGAACCTACCATCAGATTTTTCTCACTTAACGTATGAACAACAGGCTTTGTCTGATGGTGGATCAAGCTTGTTTTTCCGATGGAAGATCATGGGCTCTTTTCACAAAAAAATCTTACAACTAAAATTAATCATATAAGTTATACTGAAATGTTCATGACTTACGAGTATTTTTACTCGTAAGAATTTTTGTGAAATGAGTCACAGGCTTGTTTGTCCTTCTTCATATGGTTAACCAACTGCAGACGAACTACTTTTTATTGTTAAAGTAATTGATGGATAAAAAAAATCCGTCGACGTTATTCTGTCCATGGTAAAAACATATTTTGATGTGCCAGATTTATCTGCTGGTCCAAACCGTCTATGAAATAACCAACATTCAACATATAAGCCTCATTTAGTCAAAAATATATTGAACTGAATATCTGAAGTCGCGACACTTAACAAATCTTTTTCAACCATAAAGCTGTTAAATTATAGGTCTTCAATTTGAATAATTCGAATTATGAAACGTGAAATGAAAGTAGTTTGTATGATTTTATTTAATAGAAGATGTCCAACTGGAAACTCTTCAATCAACTTGCGTGACTAGTTACATCCTTGGGCCTAAAAAAGAGAAAAATCTTTGTTATACATATATGCCTTTTCACATAAAATATTATGATACTTTAGTAATCTAGACAAAAATGAATTCCCACTTATATTCGCGAAATATAGTGCCGCAAACATTTAATTTAATAAACAGTGATGTTGAATACAACGAATTTTGGTACATGGTTTGCTCGTTAAAATCTTTACAGTTTTCAACCTATAACTTTTAAATTATGTAGGGTGTTAGTACATATACTAAAGTTGTGCATCATATCAGGATTTTATTTTCGTAATTTTCAAAGTTGTTGGGCTTTTTATAATATTAAGCATGCAGGGTACATGGTTTGTACGGCTACATCCTCCTACAATTTTCAAGTTATAATTTGTATATTATGCTGGCTGTAAGTGCATATATAAAATGTGTGCATATTCACATGATATTTTTCTATTTTTTTAGAGGATATTATGTATGAAGTGTACATGGTTTATCCGACTCCTTCTACAGTTTTTCAAGCTAGAACTTCTATATTGTGTATAGTGGAAAATTAAAAAAAAAATCTAAATCATGAAACTATGCACACTGTTAATTAATGTAATAGAACATAGCCATAGGAAAACAAAGATTAAAGACAACATAAAAAATGAGAAAAAACCTAAGTAATTTAGGCAAAAATAGTTTACCGATGTTAAAATCTCAAAAATTTATTAAGAAGGCATAACAAGGTAACAAATATAAAATGAAGGAATTGTATGACCTCTAAAAGGAGTGAGACTGAAGTGTCACAGGTTAAGGGTCTCCTGCTAGCAGTCTACATTAAACAATGTTTATAATTTTTTTTTTCAAAACTTACAATTGGAAACTCGCATATGTATGCCTCCCCAGAAACAGTCGCATTACAAAAATCAGGGTCCCATACAAACTCAAGTTCATTCGGATCCCAATCAAGTTCGAAACAACCTTCACTGATATTATTACTATCGTCCGTTGTAGCGACTAAAACAAAGTTAAAAGTATTGAATGACAAAAGCAACATTTTATAATGTTAATAGAAAAATTTGCTTTCTTGTTTAACTACATATAATTTATTTAAATACTAAATGACAATACATGCGTTTATAATTACATTTAAAGTATTCTTATATGTTATGATTCGAAGGAAGCTTTATCAAGAACATGTCATATGATCATATAGAAAAGATGAACATTAAGTTAGGGAGGATAGCCATAATTTAAGTTGGTCAAATAGTACATGCCCCATTAACAAATGGAAAAAAATAGACCTGAAGTAATAGAGAATAGATTGAAAGAAATCTTATTCAATAGTTTATGTCACAGAAAAGTAGTTGGTAAATCACTCGAAATCCGACGTATAATTCATAATATCATTTAGCGTCATTGCAATATTAAGGGAACTGTAATGTCCAAGAATAAACCGGCCGTAAACAAAGTGCAACTTAGGCATAAACAAGGTGTAAAATAGGGGTTAATAATCACAGGCACTTGTCTCTGAATTTTTTTTATCTATAAACTTAAATATAACGCAAGGTACCCAACTCGTATTTTTTGAGAAATGACACTCGATCGCGAACTTCCGATATATTTCGATTCAGTGGTTGTCTAAAACTTGTTATGTCGTAAATCTACATTCAGTTATCTGCAAAATGGTGTATAACACGCCTATCTATCTTGTCGGAATCATTCGTAGCAGGCCTTCAAGGTAGGTCAATATAGTAAAGTATTTCGTCTTCTCACAGCAAAATGGCAATGTTATTCCCGCAGTGAAAATACGAGTTGGGAACCTTGTGTTATATTAAAGTATATAGGTAAAAAAATTAATCAATAAACATTTTCGACTCTAAAATGTTATATTTTTTAAATCCTAGATTGAACCCCATACTGTTCTTTCCTTGAAAAAAGGAAATACTGTCATTTAATCTTTAAGTGGATTATGTCTTCTTTCAAATTTTACATTTTGCCATTCCATAAATATCATAAAAGACGGAATGATAATAACAGTCAATAATTACAAGACTTATCAATTAATACATGTAATAGCAAGAATATATGTCCATACGACAACATACCATGCTAGTTCTATCTCATTTCCATGTTCAGGTAACCGTGCAATCTAGGTCAAACCCCTAATTTGTCACATAAATTTGGCAGGTCACTACATAATGGATATTTGTACTAAGTGTCATGTTGATGACCACAAACTACCTTAAACCAATACTTTAACTAAATCGTTATCCTACCATTAAACCCAAACTCTAAACGGATAAAATATTACTTTTCTATGTTTAATAAACCGTTAAATCTGGGTCAAAACCCTAATTTGATATATATTTAACAGTCATTTCATAATGAACAAGTGTGCTAAGTTTCAAGTTGATGTGAGCACAAACTACTTTCAACCAAAACTTAAACCTATCTTAAAACAAACTTTTAACCAGGTACGAGGCGGATGGACTTAATGACGGACGGACGGGTGGAAAAAACTGGAAAAATATGTCATCTACTATCTTAAGCGGGCATAAAAGGAATATTAGTTATTGAATGAAAATCTCTAGTTCCAATGATTCTGATTGGAATCAGCGTTGTATATTGTAAGCAAGGTTCCTGAATTTATTTCATATTTTACGCTATGATATGATAAGTATGATATGATTGGAAAGGACAGGTCTTAAGATATAGGTTTATTCGCAAGGTGCATTAGAAACAATATCAAGATATATCTTTACAACCATTAAATGTAAATGCATGAATAAATTTATTTTCAATTTCTTTAATTTCCCAGTCATTTTTTAACTAAAAAAATAATTGTGTTCATGAATAATGTTACATTTAAAAATGGTCAAAATACATACGTCTACCAAATGGTAGATTATACTGGTCAAATGGATCATTTGTTACTGCATAAACATAGCTGTTGTTGTCAGCGAGATTGTTTGCTCCAGTGTAGACGTCAAAAGATTGTACTCCTGCATAAGATAACAATAGACTGACAATTATATTTCAAAATTTCATCTGTCAGATTTCAAACATATATTTTAATGTAGTTAGAAATGTAATTTCTCCATTTTATTTTCCTCTGACGTCCTTTAACGATTTGTTTGTTGCTTCCTAATAAACATTCCCCACACATTTTGTTTGTAACAAATCTTTGATGAACATTTCTTATTTGGATATGCGAATATACAAATCGAACATCATTAAATATCATATCAAATTTGGTTACTTTGTTGAACGCATTTATTCCATCGAACTCGAAATAAAGGATACAATAGATACAGTTAAGTCTGCCTCATATTTTGACTCACATCTAAAAATTGACAATGAGAGTCAGTTGAGAAAAACTTTATGTCAAAAGAGATGATTTCAGCTTCCCAATCATGAACTTTCCATTTCTATGTAGTAGCATTCCAGCAGCACCTGCAAATGGAGTATATATCTCCCATTTGATACGATATTCCAGGGCTTGAATTTCCTATCATGATGTCTTTGATATGGGGTTGCTGCTCACAAGGAATTTATTGAACCAAGAGTTCCAAGTGGTGAAGTTGAAATCATCCCATCGTAAATTTTACTAACCATCGCGAGTTAGTTGATCGTTATGGCATATCTGATTCACAGATGACGACGGATATGTTCCAATCGTCGTAACCACAATCCCGTCCTCCTGTTCCCCGAATGAGAACTACCGAATTAGACTTATCACCGGGTTTGTGCTAACATGAGCAACAAGGCGGGTTCCCCATGTGGAGCAGGATCTACTTACCCTTCCGGAGCACCCGAGATCACCCCCGGTTTTTTGTAAGGTTCGTGGTGCTCAGTCTTTAGTTGTTTGTCGTTTTGTCTTTATTTATTTTTTGCCATGGCGTTGTCAGTTTATTTTCGACTTATGAGTTTGGATGTCCCTTTGGTATCTTTTGCCTCTCTTTTATAAGTGAAATGCCAGTGATGGCTATAATACTACTAGCAAGTCTAAATTAATAATTTTTTATCATTCAAATAATAAGTGTAATAAAGGGAATTTATTTGTCCGATTGATAAAACGATAATAAAGTAGTGCACAACCAGAATAGGAGTGAACTATGGCTTAAACCTGGGACATAATATTCTATTCCCTGCTACAGAGGCTACCATTTCGACACAACATTATTCTAATTATTAAACTGACTGCCAATTTATTGTAAATATATAAAGATAATCTTAAAATAGTCATCAGTTACTACAGCATGAACCGTAGAAATTTTATAATATTTAAAAAGAAAAGGAAAAAAATCTTCATGCGACATTTTTAAGACATGCAAATGACATGTAAATGACAATGGTTGAAATTACTATTTGAAACGCATACTATTGATTAAGGAACCCTTAGCTCACTTACCTTACGCCCCCATGTAAAGGGAACAACCTTAAAGTTCCCTGATGTCATACTTTTTTATCTGGGTACTTTCAGGTGTGATTATTTTCTCTGTAATGGTTTCAAACAGTAATATTGTTTTGCATACATCTATTTTAGCAACCTTATCCTTGACCTTAAACCTAGTGACTTCAAAATCCAAAATGGGCTACCTCTTATTACATGTAACCACAAATCCAAATAAGGTTGCAATCAAAACTAAGGTATTTGATTTAGCATTTGAAAACCACTTTTCTGCACATATGTTTGTTTTTTTAAAGTAACTATGGCACTAATCAAAAACCTTAATAAAAAAATCGATAGCGTTCTTCCTCTTATTATATGTGACCATATACCTGAGTAAGGTTGCAACCTTATATCGAGTATTTGATCTTGCATTCGGAAACCAAAATGACTGACGGACGGATAAAAACCTATATTATATCACCGCTACTTGGTAGCGTGGGTATAATAACAGTTGCGCTGATTGTTGCGCTTAGTTCCACCTTCTCAAGTGAAGTAACTGTTTATTAACATATTGAATATATACTACATACAACAGCTGTAGTTACTATCATGTAACGGAAAGCTTTTCCCGACAAATTATAATTTCAATTCTATGACAAGACAAAGAAATGCCATGAACTTAATATTTCACACCCACAGAAATATGAAGAACTTTAAGAATAAAAATTGATTTTCTATTTTTTTAGTTGAAAGAAGGTTCCTAACATTAATATGAATAAAAGAAAATGTAGTATAAAGGTCGATGAAACAGAACTCCAACTACACAATAACAAAAATACATATATACATCTATGTAGAATAGACTAATTCAATTGCTACAAGCTAAAAGACTTAAGACAGAAAATTTGACAATTACTTACCAAATATATCAAATTTGACTAAAACTGCTTCAGCCTCTTCTTTTGTTTCTGGAATCCACAAGTAAGCACCTGGAGTACTGGTGCATATCGCCTGAACAGAAAAAAATAAAACGTATTTCTCAACACCTGCAAATCACTCTCAAACGTTCTAGACTTAAGAGGAGTTATATTTTTGAAAACGTTTATCTTTTTTTTTTACATTGCAAATAGTGCATTTTTCATACTTCCTAGAGATGACAAATTATATTTTATATTCAAGTCAAAACAACAAATACTCACGGCTAGTGCGAACTGTCCATACCTCTTTTACACAGTATTGAACCCGTTATACAGTGAACAAGATATCTCTTGTTATTATCAATTAAAGTACGACAATAAATGCTAACCAAACTGCAATATCAAATTAAATTTTGCAGCTGATCTCCCGAGTAACTAATACTGCATGTGACAATATTTTCTAAAGTTTATTCAACATATTGAAAATTTCAAAATATCGGCAAACAGGAAATATCGGTAGGTGTCTGACGGATCTGAAAAGTGGTCACACGTTACAACTCATCACTGTCAAACGGCAGACAAATAGTAAGTTATTCTGTTCAGTAGTAGCTGAGAAAAGTATGACAGAAATGTATGTTGAATGAAAAGACGAATGAACAGAAGGGCTGACAAGGTAAATGCAAAATATAACCCCCAGTTAGGTATGGTATCAATTTATAGTTTTAGTTTAAACAAATAACGATGTCAATGTAATCACATTTACTAGTATCCACAACGGCAACATAACTCTTATACCAGAAATAATTATTGCCAAAACAAATTTTGATATGCAGATTATGTTCCATGAGTCGATTAAAATAATTATTTTGTCAAGCGGGTTATTTCTTATAGTCCAGATACAAAAACAACCTAACATTTCTTTTGAAGAAAACTAAGAACGTAATTATAATTCATAAAAATTCAAATTTGTCGAAATCACACTTTATTTAGACGTTTATGTCGTTTACAAAACGTAAGTTATTATTGAGGCACCAGACAAATTTTAATTAAGGAGCATAAATCTTGAACAATGGATGCCAAACCCCTCAAAACTACATTTGAGCTGAATTTTATTGTTCACGACATTGTGTAAAAACATAAAAAAAACGAATGTATCTAGTGTTACTTAATTGTTATTTGGAAACCAAAATAATTCCGAATTTATAGAAGATAAAGGGTAAAAATCTACCTTCAAAATTGAAATAGACTTGTATTTTATTGTTCATGTTATTCTTTCAAAAACTCAAAAGATGTTGGTCAATAGGTACTTTTATTATCATCCAGAAACCAAAAGAGTGACAGACGAGCAAATGAACAAACCGACAAACAGAAGGCCCTTTACATCACTATATTAAAATAATAGGAGTGAAATGCATCTATACATTTTCAAACAATTGACCCCCAGAAATCAACAACAAAATTTAACACATCCATGAAACTGAAGAACTTTTTAATGACCGTAACTACCTTCAAACATGGCTGCCACTGTTATCAAAATGGATGATTAACAACGAAAAAAGAAAAATGAGCTGCTTATGAATTCAAGGGAAAGAATAAATGAACTATACCGTCCTTCTTTTGGTATTAATATTTTTAGAACCGCAGGGTTAAACTTAAAAACCAGTGACCTTTTAATTTACTATGGCTCCTGGCACCAGATGTAATTGTTAACTGTTCTGGCTCAGCAGTAAAAAGGTACTACCCAGTGAGGTTTCATATAAAAGTTTTCGTTATTTAGAAACAAGTAGGGCAATACAGTCTTCTTTTAGTCTGTAGCTTCCTCTGAATACCTATAGGGTTGCGGTCACTTAATTTATACCCTTCAATTCCTTGCTTTATATCCATAACTATCTCTTATCTATCGCAAAGTGTTCAAACAGTATTTTCAATATGTTATACATTATATTTTTATTGTTTTTACCAGCAGGTGACCTATTATGTTCATCTAAATTATCATAATGTAAAAGTATTTTAACTTAAAGGTTCTTGTCTTAAAAATACTGGTGTGTTGTATGAAAAACTCACATTTGCTACATGCCAATCTGTTCTATCCGTCCTTTTGCGGCCTTCAAAAAGGTAACAATTTGGGCTAATACTTTGATTAATCAGTTTCGTGTATCCCTCTGGACATGTTGTTGGAAGAGTTTTGCAAGGAGCTATAGATAGAATAAATTTAAAAAAAACTCTAATTAACTAGCTGATACTGTTTCCTGTTGGTTTTTGTATGTTTATTGTTACTTATAAATCTATAAACGTTTGCCTTAGTAATGCTACAACCCATAATAGAAACTAAATTCTGGAAAACCTTTGAAGCACGAAATTCATCAAATGTTTTTTTCAATTGTAAGATTTGATCGAGTCCAAAAGTTCACATAGTTAATCACAAATAGACAAACAAAGGCGTCCAAGTTCTACTTTGCATTAACAATGCTCTGGGATTTTGCATACACGTCCTTGTGTCAACTATAAACATTCAAGGTCATTCAATGTTTATTTTCATAAAATTGATAATTTTATTTGCAAATTACTCCCATATTGTTAAAAAAATGTAATGCAGTGCAGTATTAACAACAAACAAGAATTACAAGAATAAACATTAAGCAAAAGCAAAAGTCATTGTCATGATAATGTAACTTTAAATGTACATAGACCTAATATTGAAAATAGATTGTCCATCCAAAATCAATGCGCAACCAACTCCATGCTTAAGGCCATTAGACCATGCATGGTCAATCCAAATCCATGGAGATATAATCTTATTATTACAGTAAAAATAGCAAGAATGCACGTGTTGTTGCGCTTATCATACCTCATTCGTAATTCAAAGTATCGGCAAACAGGAAGTAGATGTTTAACAGGTCTAAAAAGCGCCCACGTTACAACTCGCTACCAAGCTGCTGACGAAACATGAAGTAATTCTGTTTAAAATAACTCGAGCAACGTTCGACGAAAAATTTAATTTCATTCAACATAATATTGAAAAAATCAAAAACATCGGCAAAAAGAAAGGAGGTGTCTTACAGATTCTTAAAAGTGCACGTTACAACTGGCTGCTGATCATTGGTGAAATAATTCTGTTCAGTAGTACTTGAAAAATAGTTACACGGAAATATATGTAGGACGACCGGAAGAATTGAATGATGGAAAAAGAAAGGTTTAATGCAATATTTCAAGGTATAAAGTCATAACAGTACAATATAACAGTAAAAATAACAATATAACAGTAAAAATAACAATATTACAGTAAGGATAACAGTAAAATCTTCCATAAATGAATAATTCTTTTAATGGGCTAAATATTTAGAAATTTCATCAGTAACTAAATCTTCATTTTTCAACTTGATAAAAAAACAAATAATTATTAATTTCGAACTGTTACAAGTTTACCTTTACACTTTTTGCATGAATTTCCCTGGTCATGGTACCCATTTTTCTCACCACTTAATTCGTAGTTGCTCTTTGCCTTGCCTTTGCATTTACCCTTGCCTTGGGGTTTACCTATATAAAAATATGATATATTGCTCAAAATAAATAAATTGGCAAATAAAAAAGACATTGAAAGTGATTTCAGTCCTTACAATGAATAGTCTCTACAAATTGGTACATTCTTAAATCAAAACATGACGTTAATTATTACTTTTTTGTTCTGGTAAAAGAATTACAACTATTTACATTCTGCATGTAAATTAACAAATTATAAATACCAGGCTTAAAATTAAGTACACCAGATGATTATTTCGTCTACAAAAGACTCAGTGACGATCGAATCATAAAAGTTAAAATGCCAAATACGGTACGAAGTTGAAGAGCGTTTAAAGTCAAAACTTAGTTTGACAAAATTGAACCAAAGTGACTACTAATAGCGAAATAACGTTTCAATATTCCGCTTATATAAAAGTAAGAAACAAAAACCCAAAGTATTTATGTGTTGTTGAAATCGTAGCTAATGCCCCTTTGAAAGATAAAACTATTAAAGAAAAATTGGCAAAATTTAAATGATTTCAAGTTATTTCTAAAGTTGTTATTACTGGTATTGTCTCCAGTTTCTTTTCTTCAAGATTTAGGGTTGTGTAGAATAAAAAAAGGAGACATTGAAAGTGATTTCAGTCCTGCAATCAATTGTCTCCATAAAGTGGTACATTCTTAACTTAAATTAGACATATTGAACATGGTGGTAATTATTACTTTTTTGTTCTAATACAAGGAAGACATCTCTTTATTTTTACAGATAAATAAACTAATCATAGATACCAGGCTTAAAATTGTGTACGACAGACGGACGTGTCATCTTCAAAAGACTCATCAGTGAAGCTCGAAACAACAAAAATAAAAAGCTCAAATAAAGTATGATATAAAAGAGCATTGAGAACCCAAAATGCCGAATTACAGCTAATGTTATCTAATCCTGGGTTAGAAAATCCTAAGCATTTCGAAATTATTAAAAGTTTTGTAAACAGTTAATCTATAATAATACATGGAAGGAAGGGCTTAAAAGGGCATTAGCTGTCATATTTGACTTAAATAATTATATATTTACAACATACTAAAACGTAAATCAAAATTACAAAATGTCCAAAAGAAACAAATATCCAATACATGGACTTGTTATAGTGTATCTGCTTTCCATGTGTATTTAGGCTAGACGCCATCTAAATAACCATGGAGATGACCGCCGAAGTTGCCAATGGTCATTCGAACCGATCAAAACATGAATATAGATAGACGGACAAGCATGTGCAGTCGTATAAGTACGATTTTTCTAGGTCTGTTGGAATTTATGTCATAGATTTTTAAAAGAAATGTAAGTCATCGTTTTACCTGTATATGAATGAACTTTTATGGGCCGAATCAGTCAACGGAATTATTTTTCCCGGTGGCTCCCTTGTTTCATTTTTTAATGCTGATATTATTTTCTTTTTAATAACTGAACACGTTAAGCACATGCGTAACCCATCTCCAGCTAAGGGTAAAGTTAAATTTTGCATGAATACAGATTCAAATGAGGTGTATCATTAACATATTATTGACACACAAATCAATAATACACAAGCGATGTGTTTGAGCTTATTTTGACTACTAATAGGGAAATCTTTTTTCAATATTCCGTTTATATAAATTTTTGAAACAAAAACAAAATGTATGTTATTTTTTTGTATAATAAATCGTAGCTGATGTCCCTTTAAAAGATAAAACTATTTAAAAAATATTATATTATTTCTTAAGTTATTTTTACTGGTATTGTCTACAGTTTCTTTTTTTTCAACTTTCAGGGTTGCTAAACCTAGACAAAGGGGAAAGCTATTATGTTAGCACAAAGAAAAAAATAGTAAATTTAATTTGAATTTTGAAATAAAACGCAAGTTTCATTTGTTTAAAGCAGAACTTTTCTTTAAAATAAAAAAAAAAAAAAAAATATGACCGACTTTTCGCTTTCTTGCTTCATATATAAATAGGAAAATTTACAGAAAGATTATAAAATTCAGTTAAATCTGAGATCTGTCTAATCATGAATTAATTTATCTCTGTCAAGACATCAAATGTCTGATTTCTGCCCCTCATGAATTATCTGAATTCTATCCCGTCATAAATTGTCTGATCTCTAGCCCGTCTTAAATTACCTGATCTTTGTCCCCTCATAAATTATCTGATCTCTGTCCTGTCAGCTATAAATTATCTGATCTCTATCCCGTCATGAATTGTCTTATCTCTGTCCTGTCATAAATTATCTGATCTCTATCTCGTTAAAAAGTATCTGATCTCTGTCCAGACATAAATTGTCTGATCTCTATCCCGTCTGAAATTATCTGATCTCTATCCCGTCTGAAATTATCTGATCTTTGTCCCGTCATGAATTATCTGATCTCTGTCCTGTCAGTCATAAATTATCTGATCCCTAACCAGTCATGAATTGTCTGATATCTATCCCGTCATGAATTGTCTGATCTCTGTTCCGTCATGAAGAATCTGATTTCTATCCCGTCATGAATTTCTGATCTCTGTTCCGTCATGAATTATCGGAGCTCTGTTCTGTCGTGAAATATTTTATTTATGTCCCGCCATAGGTTGTTTTCGGATTGAATCAAGTCTGAGACTCTTTTTTTGAAAAAAAATAATAATTTAAGAAAAAAGTACAAAATGGGCTTAAATTGCATTACCCGACTGTAATAACCATACTAAATACATCTATGGGGCATCATACGGTCTTTAATAAAAGACAGGTCCCTTAAAATTAACATTAAGTCAAGTCGACTGAATAGAAACTATATCGGTCATTTTTATCTTGACTCTCTTTTTTAATACTTCTCAGAAGTATTAACGTCACTAAAAATAATATCTTTGTAACCCATGATTTTATTTCCTTCAAATTAAAAACTTACCTTCAGAATGTAGAAAAACTATTAAGCAGAGCAATGCGGCTACAACTTGAATCTTCATTTCACTCCAAGTAGCTGATATATTTTTGAACGTTGATTTTTGCAAACGTAAGTTTGTTGCACACGTTAAAATTTCCGTTTATATAGTATATAGAAATGTTGCGGCAAAATAAGAAATATCATGATTATCCAATCAAATGTTGACAAATTTTAACATGAATCCTCTCACTTTACCTTCTGATCAATTAATTTTATTGTGTAATACATAATGAAAAAAATATCAAATGTTTGTCTTCATCAACTGATAGTACAGTGTAATGCGTCATGTGTGAAATTGCTGAGACAAATATTGTAATAACGAACAAGGGGACTTTTGTTATTGATGAAGTTAATTGGCGTTCAATCTAACATAATAAATTATGTATTTACTTAATGAATTAGATATTAATTCTTTATTCAAACTATTTAAAAGGCAATTTATTTAATGGTTTTCTCAAAAATTTAATGATTAAAAGAAAAGCATCAGTTATCTTCGGAAAAGACCTGACCCAAGTCCTGAATATGATAGTTGTTTTAGTAGTTCCGTTGGTTGTTATCGTTGAGCGTTTGGTTTAGTCAGGTTTCATAGAATTCCATTCTATTGAATTTACCTTGGAGTTCAGTATTTTTTGTTAATACATCTTTTATCGTTGCATGCTTATGATTTCATTATCATTATTACGAATTTAAGGCTTTAACGCTTATGAGTTATGGTTCTCCCTTTGGATTGTTCTGTCTCTTTTTAAAGGAGTACCAAATTTGTTATATTTACTCGGCGATAAATTGTGTTCTACTTCTTATCAATTTCTTCAAATGCAAGCTTGAATGGACTTTATAGATACTGTTAACATCATCGGTCTCGACATATTGATGCTACGAAAGTAAGCAGTCATATCAAATAGTTCTATTCGGAATTTTAATCTGTTCTGACATGAAATATCATTGATATGGTTATTTTCTTAAATTTACAGCATGTTTATAAAATAGAGATTTATTTGAAACACTAAGATTTTTCTTACCTCAGGTATAGATGGTCGTAGCTAGATTTGGCACAACTTTTATGATTTTTCTAACCTCAGGCAAGGTGGTCGTAGCTAGATTTGGCACAACATTTATGATTTTTTTTCAATAATCTTAAATTTTGTATTTGATTTCTGGCCTTTAAACAATTAGTTTTGAATGCCACTGGTTTGTCTAATGTAACTCACATCTGGCATACTAAATTCTAAGCCTGGTATCTTTGACAAACACTAGGTCGATGCCAATGAATTGGTATCACCAGGCAAGTAGTCTGCATTTCTAAAATATTATTGATTCAGTATTTTTTTAAATCATCTGTTTAAAAATGTTGAATTACTAGTACTCTGATCACTTGTGATTTTCTACTGAAGAGGATGGCCTAAGTAAGATTCGGCACATCTTTTTTTAACTTTGGTTTTCAGGCCTCTTCAAATTGAACTTTATGTTGTTAAAATCAGTTTTAAACCACCATTTTCTTTGAAAAATGTCTGTACCAATACAAGAATATGGCAGATGTTTTTCACTCGTTCCGTTGATTGATAGCGTTTGATTTTGTCAGTTTATTTGGACCTCCCTTTTTTTTTATTTGTTTGGAGTTCAGTACTTTTTTTACACTTTTTGTTGCCAATAGTATGTCTTTTAATGATTGAATACACGTCTAGCTAAATCATAAGCCCGGAATCGTTGATGAGTTTTACAACTGGATTAGAATGAACTGTAAAATTAAGAAATAATTCAAGTAGGCTTGTTGGCCCTTTATGCTAAATATTTTACCACGAGCGACAGCAAGGGATAAAATATCAGCATAAAGGGCCAACCCGTGGCAAAATCAATATAAATTCAAGCCCCATGAATTATATCTATTCTAGTAGGACAAAGACAGCAGTTCTTTTGGATCGAATGCTTGCTGTTCTCGTAATTGAACACACTATTAATATTGACGTATTTCAATTTTAATTGACTATCTTACTTTCATTTGAGAAGATATGGACATTATACAAATTCTTACCTTCGTTTGTTTATATATTCATGTTTTGACGACTTTCAGTTTCCCATTCGTGCATTTTCCCGTAAAATCCTTACATTCTTGCGTCATCGTTCAATGATGTCATTTACACTATCTGACGTGAGGTAAATCATTCATTCTGTCCTAAGTCAGGAATCTGATGTTCAGTAGTTGTCGTTTGTTGATGTGGTTCATAAGTGTTTCTCGTTTCTCGTTTTTTATATAGATTAGACCGTTGGTTTTCCCGTTTGAATGGTTTTACACTAGTAATTTTTTGGGGCCCTTTATAGCTTACTGTTCGGTGTGAGCCAAGGCTCCGTGTTGAAGACCGTACTGTGACCTATAATGGTTTACTTTTATAAATTTTTACTTGGATGGAGAGTTGTCTCATTGGCACTCATACCACATCTTCTTATATCTATATATGACGTGGAAGTAGGATTGGAACAGCCCAAACAAATCATGGCGTTGCCTATCAGCTGACATATGAATATATTCGAATTTTTCCACGGGTGTGTACTCAAAGCGTTTGAAGAACGTCATATTAGTATCTGAATTTAAACACTAATGTGTTATATTTTTTTTTAAATTTTGCATCATAATGAATATGGGTACTTTAGGGTTAAAAGTAATATTACCACAATTGTATGATAAACTATGCAAATCAAAATGTTAAACTTAACCGGGGCTTTAGAAGGAATGAACGCCTCCACCGAATAGAAAACGTAAAATACCTTTCTATCGTAGGTTGGGTATAATAATAAAAACTACCAAAAAACAAACAAAGGAACCGAATATACAACATAGAAAACTAAAGACTGAGCAACTAGAACCTGAAAGAAAAAGATCGGGTTGGTCTGAGGTGCTTCGGAAGTGTAGGCATATACTGTTCCATATGTGACATAAATGTCAGTAACAACATTAGTTCCACTACAACTGAAAATCGGTTCTGATTTTTCTTTATTTGATTTTTTCTTTGTCAATCTTTTTCATTTCACATTATTCAACATTCCTCACCAATTTTAAAAACACACATGCTCCTTAAATTTCTTTAAATGCAAAATAAATATCCAATTATTTAAACTGAAATAGTTTAAAACGCTTCCATACTGGCGTGATTTACACCATACCTTTCTTAAATTTTCATTGATGAATTTAGATTTTTGTGCATAGTAGAACTAAGGTTGACTTTGAGACCCTATGGCTCCTCGAAACAACAAATTCAATATGTTGATTGGTTAAATTTTGAGTCTGAGTTTGATAATCGTACTCGAAATTTTTATGACCGCAAGGCAATGTTGTATTTTAGGCAGGCATTGGGTAATGCAAATTTGTAATTGTAATGCATGGTAATGCATTACATTTTTCCAAGTAATTGCATGTAATGTGTAATGCAGCAATTTGTGCATTACATGTAATTGTAATATAATGCATTACTTTAGCAAAAAGTTGTGTAATTTCATGCATTACATGGCATTACATGTCATTACTTTTTTCACATACCACATCTTTAACATATTGTTGGAGTTTTAACTAAACCAAATTTAAGATTTCTTGATTAACTAGGAATATGTTAATCATGAGAATATATTCTTTATTTTATCTTATTTCATACATTTTCCTGCATAAAAAGATTGATATTTGAAAAGCATAACTGTATTGTTGTCATAAGATCAAAGAATATCTTGTCTTGCTCAAATAAAAGATAATTAAACTTTGTTATAAAACACTAATTAGTTTGTTTTACAATCAATATTTTCACCATTTAGACAATTGTTCATTAATTAAGGTCTATGTTTATTTTATAATTAGGGAAGTAATTCACAGTAATTAAATATTTCGTTTAAAATAAAAAAAAAAACAACAAAGAATATATTTATAAAAGTAAAGTCAACATTAAATTAAAATTGTAAAAGCTGAATTAAATAGACTTTTTACATGTATACTTATATTCAATTCATGGAACAGTTGCTGCATATGCTAGAATCTTTTGTGACTTCTAGTTGTTTTTCAAGATGTTTAATTTTTCTATTCACTTCATAAAATTTTCAAATGTAATGTGTAATTCAAGGCATTACTTTGCAAAAGTAATTGTAATATAATGCATTACTTTGATAAATGCATGTAATTGTAATTGTAATATAATGCATGGTTTGGTCAAAGTAATTGTAATATAATGCATTACATTGCAATGTAATTCGCCCCATGCCTGATTTTAGGTATGATTTTTTTTTCTGTTATGATATAAGAAAGTAAAATTGTTATACAAACAAGTGGCTCTTAAGACCATAAATCACTCAAAAATATGGCAATTGGATATTAATTTTTACTTTTTACGCATCAATATGTTTTAGAAACAAATTATTACGTTTCTTCTCGAACATAACATTTTATCTGAGAGCATACCATTTGTATCGGGGGAAAAAGGGGGTGGTATATTATGTCTTTGTTTTAAATGGCCTTTGTCACACTATGTAGTCATCACAATACCAAAGACTAATGAAATTGCTTGTAGATCTCAATTTGCTTGTTTTAATTTTAACTATTACAGTTTTTCAATATCCATTACTGGTTTCAAGATAATCGTCATCAGAGGACAATAATAACTCTTTTTAATCAATCGATGGTTTCAGTTATACTAGCTTTTTATATATCTAGTCTTACCGGTCAATTTTGTTATTTACAGCTTCTGTCTGTATATTATACTTTTCAAGATAAGCAAAAAAATGGTAAAAGTCTTTATTAAAGGACAATTACCACTATAAGGAGTTAGTTTATTGATTCGGTCATATTATCGTTTTTGAAGATTTCGATTTTTAACAATTTTTGGCTGTTTAAAGCTTTACCTATCGATTATAGTGTGCATGATATAAGGCAAAAACAAAACAAAAATGTCAAAAATCTTTATGTAAGGGCATTTCTTCCTATCATTTGAAAGAAGCAATAGGTAGATATTGGCCTTTAGCATGTTTGACTCTCAGAGGATATTCTCTATCTATTATGGTTCGAGATATAAGACATTTAGTGCATTCCTTATGTTTTATTA